TAAACCTTTCACTTCTAGGGCGAAGGAAACTTCGAATATGGCTAGGTGTATCTAACTCTTGAGAATGCGGAATTTTGTATTTGAGAAAAGGCTAGTTTAGAAAAGAGAGAGAGATAGTAATCAAGAGAATCTTGATGAGAGTTGGTGAATGAAAACGGGGTTTTTAGAAGGCTATTTATAGAGAAAATCAACCGAAAAGATAGAATATCGAAACAGAGTTCTGAAGCGCATAAAACTTAATTTGGGTCGACGCCGGCAATTAGCGCCAGGCGCCAAGCGTTAGAGTCAGGCGCTAATAATCAGTTTCACGCGTTTTGTTTTTATCATATCTTTTGATCTGGAAGATTAAATAAGGAAAATAATATGTCATTAGAAAGATCTTGAAGTCTACATTCCAACCCAATTAGAATCAGATTAAAATCTTTTGTAGATAAAAAGATATGACCGAAATAGTGTAAGGGTGTCAGTTTTGGATAGAGTTTCATGTCTTATTCATATCTTTTTCGTTATAGCTCGGATTTAATATTATAACATTGGAAAAATAATTTCAAGATCTATCCAACCATATAAAATTTGGATAAAGATTATGAGGCACAAAATTAATTCTGAATATATTCCACTTCGTACAAAACAATGATTCTTTAAAAGAGTAGTTTTATTCAATTTCAAACTCTTTAAAACATAATTATCACTCCTAACTCCATTAGGATTTAAAAGAACCTTCTAGAATATTTTAGAAGACGATAATCAATCCTAATAGCTTTAGGAATGACAATTAATAATAGGCCCTCCTCTAGATCATTGGGCCGCATATAAAACCAAATCGGGCCCAGTTTAGTATTTTGGCCATAACTTCCTCATTATTCATTGGAATTGGGCTTATAATATATTGTTGGAAAGGTCTTTTCAAACCCCATCCAACTACACCATTATTGGACCTTTATCATGAACCAAACTAAACTAGAATGCACATTTTTCAAAAATAAGGTAAGTAAAGAAATATTTTCAAAAACAGAAAGAAGAGATATTTTAATAAAAACATCCTCATCACTAGACTTTTCACACTTTCGCTTTATTCGATAATCAAATGACGTGAAAGGTATTCATCTCTGGGTTTGGTTTTGGGGAGACACAAATAGGTGTCTACACCGATCTAACAACCAATTCCATAATTAACGGTGTAAAAATCTGATCAAACCCAATCTAACCCGAGATAGATTATTCGATCAAGATTTTGATATGTCGGAATCGTAATTTAACTTTATTTAAACCTAAACAAGACCCGAATAAACATAATATTGTTACTTGCATTCGCACCTCTAATTACAATGATTATAACAAAAGGTTAAAGGTTAGAGGTTAGATAATTTAGTTGTATAATCATTTTTATCCTTGAATGTTATATAGTACTCCCTCATTTTTGAATGACCAATTACTTTTCAAGCACTATTTTGTAAGAATATAATACCTACTCAAAAGATATTGAAGTACATATTTTCTTTTTGAATAAATATTGAACTACATAAGAAAAATTAATTGTTTTTTAAAATTAAAATAAAATTATGCTCTTCCCTCAAAAAGAAATATAGTAAAAAATAAATTTTTGTCTTTAATTCCCATTAAACTAAATATAATTGGTTATTTTGTATTTTTCAAATCAGAAGGCATATCAAAACCAATTTTGATAATTAAACTCAATCGTTATTTCGTATTTTTCAAATCAGAAGCATATAAAAACCAATTTTGTTAATCAAAGGTTTATAACAAAACAAAGGAGTCAAATTACAGTACCATAGTCTATTCTATAGCACTACATTATTATTTTCCTAAATTTTTTCATTAAAATAAAAAGAAAAAAGAAAAAAAAGAGTCACAGTTGTTCCTAAATAGGAAAACTCAGTAAAGCTCCACACTATATAATAAACTCCACTTACCACACTCTTACATCACCCATTCACCCCCTTTATTCCTCATTTGTCATTCCCTTCTCGGCTTCTTCAATGGAGGTAGAAACTGAAAAACAGAGAATCGAGAAAAAATATAGCAAACATAATCAATCTTACCAATCACAGCACTTTCCAAACCCTATTTTCCCTAGCATTCATAAGCTTAATTACCATCTTCAACCCAACAATTTCCCAAATCAGTTACCTCGTCACGATCTTTCGAGCTCGTTCCGCCAAAGATCACACTGGTCTCAGTTGCATTTGCGGTTCCCACTGGAACTCCTTCTCTGCTAACATCGCATTTTACGCGGTCGACTACGTCTTCATTGTTGTCTTCCTTGTTCACCACCTCAAGCTCTGTCGTTCTGTTGTTAAGCTCTGTGCTCACCTCTCTCGCCATCTCCCGCCGAATGTCTCCGTTAAATGGTTTCCTTTTGATGGGTTACTTTATGTTGTCAAATCAAGCATTGCCGCTTTCTTTGTGATTTCTGTGGTGTATGTTTACTGGCGTACTTGTGCCGCTTTTGAGATTTTAGGCTGATCCATGAAATTTAATCAAATGGGTTTCTGAGTTTCGAAGTCTTTCTCGTATGATTTTCATGGTTTTTTTTTAGTTTCATTAAAATGGAAATGGTCATGTCCCTTTTAGAGTCAATAAGACCCTTTGTTGACTTTCGACTATCATTTTATTGCTTTGTCGATGTAATTTTTATTAGGAAAAATTAGAAAAAATAATCCCAACTTTGTGTAATTTGCGTGGAATAATCCCAACTTTTGTTTATACCGGAATAATCCCAACTTTTAGGGGCGTTCTTTTTCTTCAATCCCAACTGACTGGGAACCGGCTAAGGAAGTCAGCATGTCCCTTTTAGAGTCAATAAGACCCTTTGTTGACTTTCGACTCTCATTTCCCTCCCAAAAAGATAGCTTACGTGGCCAACTCAACTACTCCCCTGCTTCAACATTAAACCCGCCATTAAACCTTGCAACAGAGAGTTAAAATTCGTACTCTCCTCCTTAATTGAACACAACTACTCCCCAAATTCTCCTTGAATGCGAATCGCCATTTTTGGGAAGCTTGGAAATTGAAGACCAGAGGAAGGAGATAGCAAAGAACGAAGTTGAATCGCAGACTTGAGGTACCCCAAGAACCTTGCGATAATCGTTTTTTTTTGTTTTTGTTTGCGATTTCTTGCTGGAATTGGTAGTAAAAGATATGATTTTGATAATTTTTGCTGAGCATGTGTTAGATTTATGTGATTGTGGTTGGATTTTTTTTGTGATTTGCTGGGTTTAGTTGAATAATTGAGTTGATTTATGTTTGTATTTGTTTGATTGATAGATGTGTAGTAATTTTGTTTGAATTTTTGTGTTTGTTGCTTTGTGATGAGTTATTAGGTTGATATGAGTACCTATTTCCAGAAAATTAGTTTGAAAGTGTGGCATGGAGGGGGGTTTAAGACAGTAGCTAATGGTGAATTGGTATATGAGAGAGGTAGAGGGAGGACAAAGTTAGTGGACCCAGATGAATTATCTTATTTTGATCTATTAGAGTTGGCTAAAGAATGTTCTAATGGGAAGGTTGTTGAGGGTGTATTATATTTGATTCCTGGACTTAGTTTGTGTAATGGGTTGAGGAGAATTAATAATGACAATGATGCAGTTGAGGTGGCATCTTTAGGTAGGAAGTATAGGGGTGTTGAGTTGTATGTATTGCATGCTGAAGATGACCTTGATCTGGACCCACAAGAACCAGTAGAGCAGCCAACACATTTTCAACCCTTGCTAAGTACACAAGCTTCTCAAAGTGCACCCCGGTCTTCTAAACCTCAGAAATTGAAACCAAAAAGGGGACCACCACAAAAGACTCTTTTGACTAAAGTGAGGTCAAGTCCTAGAAAGAAACAAACACCTCAACCAGAATTAGATTCCCCAACTAAAAAAAGAGCATATTCCACCTCACTCCAAATAAATGAACCTAGCCCTACTCCATCCCTCAGAACCTCTTCTTTTCTTGATGGTTCTTCACAAAAAACCCCTGTAACCCTCACTTCTTCCCTACCTACAGAAAAACCCACCCTCACTTCTTCCCTACCTACAGAAAAACCCACCCTCACTTCTTCCCTACCTACAGAAAAACCCTCAGCACACCCTGAGCCAGATGCAGATCTAGATTATGACTGGTATGATGACAGGCCTGACAGCCCAATTCCTTTGAATGACCTCATTCCAGACTACTCTGACAGTGATGAGCAGGACCCAGCTTATGATCCTATGGTAGACAAAGGAAAAGGAATTGCTGTAGGGAGTTCAAAACAAGATGCTGGAGTATTTGGTGAAGTGTACACTGATGTTGAAACTGAGAGTGATGAGTTTGATGTTGAGGATGAAACTGAGGTGATTGATGAGTTTGATGTTGAGGATGAAACTGAGGTGATTGATGAGGTTGATTTGGAGAAGATAGATCTAGAAATAGAAGAGGAGTTTGATGAAGCTCTCTTGGTGGATGATTTGCATAGTGATTCTGATGTCAGTGATGATGAGTTTGTGACTACAAAGGAGAGGGTCAAGGCTTGTAACAATCATTTGGTTGAGCTAGCTCAACAAAAGCAGAGAGAGGCTGCTAAGGGGAAGGCTGCAGATGAAGAGGTTCTAGGCAGTGTAAATGAAGATGAAGGGGCCCCTAGTTTGAGTGAATATGAAGAGAGTGATGATGAAGCATTGTCACCAGCTGGTAGTGATGAAGATGGTGATGAAGTGAGAAGGAGGAGGGCAACAACTGTTTTGGTGAGTCCAGATGCTGACTTTTCCCATTTCCAATGGAAAGTTGGGTTAAGGTTTGCAAAGAGAGAGGACTTCAGAGAAGCTGTCACCAAGTATGCTGTAGTCCAAGGTAAAAATCTTACCTTTACTGTTGGTAATAAGAATAGACAGCAGAGGTTAGGGGTCAAGTGTAGTGGTGACTGTCCTTTCTACATATATGCTTCCTAGCACTCTAGGAAAGCATCTTACATAGTGAAAAGGGCTTGGGGTAAGCACACTTGCAATAGGATCATGAAAAAGAATAGGCAATTGAAGGATAAATGGGTAGCACAACAATTCCTTGATGTGTTCAAAACAAGGCCACACTGGCCTGCGAAGGAAATTGTAGACTGCATTAGAAGAGCATTCAAGGTTATTGTGACTAGGGAGTTTGCATACAGAGTGAAATATGCAGCTCACAAGCTTTTGCATGGCTCAATGTATGAGCATTACAAGAAAGTTAAGGGATATTTGGCTGCCCTTGAGAGTTGCAGCCCTGGTTCTCACAGTGAGTTGGTAATTGTGATGCCAAAACAGCCACCTCCTATATTTCAAAGGTTGTTCATTTGTTTTGATGGTTTGGCTAAGGGCTGGATTGAGGGATGCAGAAAAGTGTTGGCCATTGATGGTTGCTTTCTGAAGACCTTTTTGGGTGGACAGTTATTTTGTGATGTTGGGAGGGACTCAAATGACCAAATGTTCCCTGTGGCTTGGGCTGTAACTGAAGGGGAGAACAGCCTCAGTTGGGAATGGTTTTTGAAGCATCTACAGACATCATTGGAGCTTGGTGATGGTATAGGCCTAGCAATCCTCAGTGATGAGCATCAGGTATGGTTAGTGTTTTTATTAAATAGATTTCTCTTTTTCCATGTATGATTAGTTGTTTAAAGTGTTGGAGTTTGCTATGCAGGCTATCCTAAGTGGTGTGTCTTCAGTTCTGCCTCAAGCAGAACATAGACACTGTGCTAGGCATGTGTATGCCAACTGGTCTAAATCTTACAGGGGAGATGAATTCAAACTCCAATTCTGGAAGATTGCAAAGTGTTACAATAAGGCAGATTATGATGAAGCCCTTGATGAGTTGAGTATGATCAATGTTGAAGCTGCACTGGCTTTCAAAGCTCACAACCCACAACACTTTTGTAGAGCTTTTCTCAGCACAGACATCAAGACAGATGCAATAACCAGTAATATAGCTGAAACCTTCAATGGCTATATTATAAATGCAAGAACAAAACATCTGTTGCACATGCTTGAGGAAATCAGATCAAACCTGATGCATAGAATGGTTCAGAAAAGGCAACTGATGGACAAGTGCACATCTGTTCTGTGCCCAAGGATACAGACCAAGCTTAATCAAGAGAAAGATAAAGCTGCTATGTGTGAGGTGTTCCCATCAACAATGACACTGTTCAATGTTACCTGTTTCACATATCAGGTAGTTGTGAATTCGGACATAATGACATGCACTTGCAGGAAGTGGGATATGCTAGGCATTCCCTGCAAGCATGCAATTGCTTGTATTTTTTTCCTGAACAAAGAAGCCGAAGACTTTGTGCACAAGTGTTACACAAAAGAAAGCTACATGAGAGCATATGCAGGTACTATTTAACATGTCACAGTAATTAACCTCATTTTATTGGGAATGGAACTAACTAAAGTATACTGTCAATGTAAACAGGTTCAATTCCTCCTTTAGTTGGGGAAAGGTACCGGCCCAAGGTCACATACCAGTTGCAGCCTCCACCCATCAAAATTGGGCCAGGAAGGCCTAGAAAGAAGAGGGTGAAGGACCCTTATGAGAACCCAAAGAAGCCTGGGGTGTTGACCAAGTCTGGTGTGGAGATGACCTGTTCACTGTGTAATGTGAAGGGTCATAACAAAAGAAAATGCCCTGAGAAGGGTAAAATTGTTCAATTTCAGTTGACTTCTTTTTGTTCAGTCACAACAAATGTGAGTAATTTTTCCAATTTCAGTTCACTTCTTTTTGTTCAGTTTAAAAAAGAAATCTAACTTGACTTTTCATGTTTCAGGTAACAAGGGGAGCTCCAACCCATAGGAGTAGAAGCAGCAGGGGTAGGACTGTGTCAGTGAACCAAGGGACTTTGAATTACTTGATTATGGGCACACAGCCAAGTCAGCAATCCACACTTACTCAGCACCCTCAGTAGAACTTTGATAGTTTGCTAGGGGTTTTGGTATTTTTTGGTTGAACAAACTATCTGGGAATGTAGCGTTTTGGTAAACATGGACATGTCTTTTGGTAGCTCCATAAACAAATCTGTCACTAAGTGTGGCTATGTCTTTTGGTAAACATTGACATGTAATTAGTTATGGAAAAATTATGTATGCTATGTGTCAGGTTGTTGCATTTTTCTTGTTCATTTAGTGTACTTTTGTTCCTGTCATATGATTGCATATCAAACTTAATTCAAACACAAATATCCATCTAGTAAAACAAGGACTTCATTTCATAACTCATAAAAGGTCACACTTACAAACACTTAAACCACTAAAATACTACCTACTTCAAATACACCATCACAATGCCAACTAAGATACAAACAACTATGAGAGTCCTAGAGAAATTTGTCTCAGCCCTTGAACAGTGCAAAGCTCAAGCTTAAGATGGTTGACTTCCCTTTTCAATTCTTTCACTTCCACCTCCAGTTTTTCCTTCCTCCCTTGCACTTTCTTCAGCTTCTCTTCCATCAATGTCTTCTGATATTCCATCTCTGCTATAGTAGTGTCCTTCTCAAAAATTTGATATCGAAGCTCATCCTCATTGCTGGCTTCAATCCATTTCATAAAAGCGCAAATCGTATCCTACACACAACCCCAAACCACATGATAATTATCACATCTTGTGTCAAACCCTAATTCTGTAATCAAAATAAATTATGAACAAGTTAGGAACAAATTATCAACTACATAAGTTTTAAACAACATAAAGGCCATTTAGGACACCCATAAAACTTGGATCCAACGTTTTGCCCCTTCTTCATAGTTCGCACCACCGCGTCCAACCCACAACTGTACTTCGTTGTTGGATAATAAAATCCACCCCTTGAGTTTGCAGAAGAACCGCAAGAACCTTCTTGAAAAGACCTACCACTCGCCATTTTTAATCTCCAAGCAATTTGATTAAATAAGGGAGAAGAGGAGAAATTGGGAACAGGGGAAGAAGAAAGAGAGGGGAGCAACGGTAAAAACAAATTGGAAAGGGTATAAGTAAAGGAAATTATAAAAAAATAAAGATTTTTTAAAAAAAAGCAAAACAAAATGCCACGTAGGACTTTAACCTGCAACAGTAGGTAAGGTTACCTGTAGGGATTGAAGAAAAAGAACGCCCCTAAAAGTTGGGATTATTCCAGTATAAACAAAAGTTGGGATTATTCCACGCAAATTACACAAAGTTGGGATTATTTTTTCTAATTTTTCCTTTTTATTAAGTTATTTTAATTTTAATCGTCGTTTATGAATGTTTTTACGTAATCAGAGTTAATGGTAATCTGTTTGGAGGTTTTTTTTGTTAAGTTTTATTACTGCACTTGTTTAGTGAAATTTGTGGATGATTAATGATTTGATAAATTTTAATTTGTTGATGAACAATATATGTTATGATTTATGTTTCAAGGTACATTGTATAAAAACTTGATTGATTAAAATTTTAAAACCCCCAAATGCCCTCTATTTTTTAACCAAAAAAAAAATGCCCACTATTTCCCCATTATTCATCTGAAATCATATATCATTTGATAATGGTGGAATTACATACAAAGATGCAAATTTTCAATTAATTGCATAACAAATTTAAATTACGAACCAATTTGATTCTCTATCCTCCTCTTCCTCATCAACTTCACTTATTATATTTCTTCTTTTTAGATTATTGGGGCTAGGGTTTAAATCGAAGAAGTTTGTGATTGTTAGAATTATGAATATTAATTCTTTTATTTTATTTTATATATATGCGTTGTTTTGGGATGTGAGAATCATAGTTTATTTTGGAAAGTTATTTTATGACTTGAAGGAAGCAAGATCATGATCAATTGAACCGAAAAACAGAGAAATAGCTCAAGATAGAGATATTGGGCAAGTTGAGTCAGGGTAGATGTGAGTTTGATGAGAGGCGAGTTAAAAAGGATCCCATTTTATACGCTTATAACGGGTCAGGTCAATGTGGGTTGTTGGTCGATAATGGATGGACCAATAAACTATCATTTAAAATGAATATAAGACAAAATCATAACTAAGTATACATTATGATATAAAAATATCCATATAATTATTTTTCCATTATCTATTATCTTTGTCTATTAAATTGATTAAATATCTTAGCCAATAAAGGCTCTAACCCTGTCCATTAAGGGTCCTTTAACCCTGGCCTCGAACCTATTATCTTTGGGCTACCCTAAATAATAAAGAGTTCTATTAAGAGCCTTTTAGGATGATGATATTAACTTAAGCATGGATCATGTTTATGTGCATTCAAGTGGTAAAATTTAAGGTATTATAGGGAGTCAAACACTTGATTCCTGACCCCAAGAAGTAGCCATGGAGGCCCAAAAGGAGGAAGATAATGGCCTCTCTTCAATAAATAGTAGTGAACAAGAAGCCTACCTAGAGATGAACAAGGTGCGCATGGAGATAGATAATAGGGGTTTCCATTTGATTGGTTTTCGGTGCGCATGGAGATAGATAATAGGGGTATCCATTCGGTTGGTTTTCGTTTTGGATTTAGCCCAAATCCAATCCGATCCAAATAAAATTTTGATTTTTAATTTTCAAATCCAATCTGTTCCGAATTACTTACCAAATCCAATCCGAACTATAATTCGGTTATTTGGATCCAATTCGAAAATCCGAATTAAAAAACATTGCTTATTGTAGGCGTCGTTCGAAGTGCGCCTACGTTAAAGCATGTTGTGAATATGCTTGGCACTCATAGAAAGTAGGAATTGACATATACGATTAGGGACAAAGAAAGTAGGGAGTCGCCAACAAGTTTTTAAGCAACTTGTAAACCGTTCACGGATCATAAAAGGCAACCACGAATAAAGGGACAATGATAGGCAACAACGATTGACCCGTGAAGGTTACACCCCATTCATAATCCATGAGATTACTAACTCCATATGGTTCGGAACCACGAAAGGAGGATCGGGGATGATGGTACGAAGTGAGTCATGGAGTCACGTTCGCCCGTATTGGCCTCTACTCGATTCTTATAGTGAAAAGTGAATCCTGCAATCTCAAAGGCATACAAACAAAAATTCAATTTGCTCCAAACTATTATTAGGCTAAATTGGTTGAATATTAATGCTACACATAATTCTAAAATATTGTGATCACTTGATTAAACAACAAGATTAAAAAGAAACCTAAACCGGTCGTCCAAATTATCTTATTAGGCGCGATTTTCAATTACATATTCCCTTTAAACATGCAATATAGTGATCAATAAATAATAATAGAATAAACATTAATATTGGAAGCAATTTAACAATAATAACGTTAGTCAAATCAAATATAAATTAACCTAATCATGATACTAGCAATATTAAAATAAAATAAGCAATTAAATTAATCACTCACATTCTGCACGTTCCTTTAAATTGCTACATCATGAATAAATTTTTAGTAACTTTAATAAAAAAATATAAATCAAATGAAAATTAAATTAAATAAATATAGATTTGATTTTGTCCAAACCCTCGGTTATTTGTACATTTCACGCCTTGGTTTAAGGATGGAACCTCGTGTGTCGTAAGGACTCCTTGGAGTGCTTAAGGGAAAAATGATGTAATAAGGAATATAGGTTTAAGGCTTAGAATATGAGAGAGAGAGAGAAGAGAATGATTTTTGGTGTAAAAGAGAGGAAGAGAGAATGATTTGATGCCCTGAACAGCAAAAATGAGGGTCTTATTTTATAGGGAAAATGAGCAGAGGGAACACATGGAACCCTAAAAAGATAAAAACCCTAAAAATTAACACCGCAACACGGCAGAGAACACTGTGACACGGTGCCAGGCACCGTCAGACGGGGGAAAATCTTGTGACACGGGGAAAAACCGAGTGACGCGGGAAATAATTAGGATGCGAGAGATAAAACACGTGAAGGGCCTACGCGGAAAGGACACAGAGCTGCCCCGTGTCACAAGAATGAGCACCGTGACACGGGAATTCCTACCGTGACACGGCATTTCTCCCCGTGTTGCGGCACAGTTTCCCGTGATGCGGGGAAGTTTTGTGGGCACCGTGACACATTAGCAACCCACCGTGTGTCGCGACACAATTTCCCGTGACGCGGGGAAGTTTTGTGATTCTCAGGCGCGTGGGGAACGAAACGCGGAAAAAACACAAGAAAGCACCGTGACACGTTGAAAAATCCCGTGTCACGATACTAGGCCCCGTGCCACGTCAGAAAGCCCCGCGTCGCGGCAATTTTAACTACTCTACGGTAATTGCAGTTTTTTTACGCGTTTTTAAAATTGCGATAACTTTTGATCCGCAACTTGGAATAAGGCATATAATATATCATTGGAAAGATTATCAAATCTACTTTCCAACTAAATTAGAATCAGGTCAAAATCATTTTTAGATTATAAGATATGACTGTTTTACGTGAAAAAATGAATTTGGCCCACAGAAAATTATTTCAAAGTTTTTGGCACCGGTAAACCGGTGCCAAAAACCCACGAAAAATCTATTTTTTTTTTTTTTTGTTGTCATTTTTCACTTAAAAATCAAATTGACTAAAATAAATAAGAACAAAAACATATTAATCGAATATCATTGAATATAACCGAAATTTACAGTATATAATCAAGAAAAAATTACAATATACGAATTATAAAATTAAACAATTACAACATATAAATAAATAAAAAAGAACTACAATATAAATAAAAAAAAATTATTACAACATCACAATAAAAAAACCCAAACATCTAAATCAATATTCTTGATTCTTGATTCTTAATTCTTCGATTATGTGCAATATTTTGGGCTTGCAAAGAAAATAGTATACCTGCGCCAATTAGTTCATCCAACAAAATCAATTAAAGTGTATTAGCTGCGAAAATTAGTTAAAAACCCAAAAAATTAAAAAAAAATCGAAAAAATTAAAATCGAAAAAAAATTAAAACCCAGAAAATCGAAAAAATTAAAATCGAAAATTAGTTAAAACCCAGAAAATCGAGAAAATCCAGAAAACGAAGAAAAATTAAATTAAAATACAGAAAATCGAAAAAAATTAAAACCCAGAAAATTAAAAAAAAAATCAAAAAAATTAAAATCGAAAATTAGTTAAAAACCCAGAAAATAAATAAAAAACAAAAAATACCCAGAAATCGAAAAACAAATAATAATCGAAAAATGAATCAAAATTGAAAAAAATTCAAACCCCGAAAAAATTGAAATCGAAAAAACACATAAAAAAAACTTGAAATCGAAAAAAAATTCAAAATCTATAAACAAAACCCAGAAAACAACTCCAAAAACGCATGCATGTACCCCAAAAAACGATTATTTTAATCGAAAATTACCAAGAAAAATTGAAATCTAGCCATGACCCAGAACTCGATTAATTAACCAACAAAAATCGAAAATAAAATCGAAAATTAACCCAGAACTCGATTAATTAGCCCAAAAAACGATTATTTTAATTGAAAATTAACCCAAGAAAAATCGAAATAAAATCCAAAAAAGATTTAAATCGATTAATGAAACCCAGATCAATAGAATTAAAATCCAAAAATCGATTAATTAAACCTAGAAAAATCCAATTAAGCCCAAACTCGATTAATTAAACCCATAAATCTCAAAATAAAGAAAAATAAAAAAAACCCAAAAAACACATGCATGCACCTAGAATCGGTGTTCTTGGTGGTCTTGGGTGTTGGTCTTGGTGGTGGTCTTCGCCTCTTCGGTGGTGGCCTTTGGTCGTGGAAACGAGTGAGAAGGGGAGGATAATCTGGGAAGAACGAAAGAGGAGAAAGAGAGAGAAGGAGATGAGATCGAAGGAGAAAGAAGGAGAACAGAGAAGAGAGATAGAAGGAGGAGAGAGAAAGAGAAGGAGGATAGAGAAAGAGAAGGAGGAGCGGCTGAGGAAGTGAGGGAGAGTTAGGGTTTTATTTGGGTATTTATATAGGGCGGGTTTTTTTAATTATATAGATGAACCGGTTTAGTGGCACCGGTTCAAACCGGTGCCCTTTGTATTTTTGCCACCGGTTTGAGCTGAACCGGTGCCATTGCTCTTGGTCTGAAATTCCGCCCATTTTTAGGCAGGTATTTGGCACCGGTTTGGCCTGAACCGGTGCCTTTTGGGGGTTGCCTTTTGTATTTTTCTACTAGTGGTAGAAGGGTGTCGATTTTGAGCCGAGTTTAATGTTTGGCTCATATCTTCTTTGTTTTAAATCGGAATTGGGTTTATGATATATGGTTGGAAAGCTTATTGAAAGGCCTATCCAAACAAATAATAATTGGATCAAAATTATATAACCATAAAATCAGTTCAGCTCGATTTTGCGATGTGGATACGAAAAGTGGAAAATAGGTTATGGTTTGGGAAAATGGGTTATTAATTGGGTTGGTTTATGAAATGTATTGGATAGAACATGGATTTGAGCACTCCAAATATTAAATACTCAACCCGAACAATAATGGCGGTGAAAGGTGCTCATCATCGGGTTTGGTTTTGGGGAGACATTTTTAGGTTTCTACATTTATTTTTTTTGGTTTAATGCCATTACAAAAATAAAATTGTAACAATAAAATTTCAATTCTTGAAAGTATAGTAGTACATGATTTATACAAGTATTGAAAACATAGGTTTACATGATTAATATTATTATAATCGTAAACATAGTTTAACATGATTAATATTAACAATATTTTTTTTTTTGTAAAATAACGCTTTCATAATTAAGTTATTTGGATCCGAACAAGGTCAATCTGATCCGATTTAAAGTTTGGATCTAATCCGAATTGATAATTTGGTTTGGATAGGATTGGATTTTTATTTTTATCCGAATAATGGACACCCCTAGAGATAACTCACAGGACTCGTGGTCAAAGGTACTGTTTTGGGTGTTTTTGTCCCTTGGGAGAGTTACGTCACGAAGTCTGATCCGGCTGAGCTGTACCTGCAAAATAATGGAGACTCCGGGTGGTTGGAGCTCCGCCTCCGACGGTCAAGTTAGTAACTTGAAATGGAATAAATAGAACGGAAATTCAGGTGGGTATCTGCTTGGATTCCAAGCTCAGGTTTTTCTCTGATGTAAGAGAATACAGGTGTAATAAATGATTGAATGTGTCCCCAAAATGGGGAAATATCTCCCTATTTATAGAATCATTGGAAATTGTGCCCTTATCTAGGTCACTTGACCTAGATTGTGGTGGGTTGCGCCGAATTACGGCGTTCTCTTGGGATTTGGGCCCTTGAGGGCCGCCATTTCAAAATCTATCTGAAGAAGCCACGTGTCAAATGGCTAGGGGGGCACTTGGGTGAGTCTGATCTTGACACGTGGCCTTCTCTTATTGGGACACCTGTCTAGGGTAATTTTTACCCTAAACATTTGCCCCTCAAATGGGTCACGTGGATGTCACGTGGGGCATGTGACACGTGTCCACCTATCAAAGGTGAACAGTAACGGGTAAAATTTTTGAATTTCAAATCAAAAATTTCCCCCGACTTTCACTTTCTATAAATAGAACGTTACCCCCCCTTTTTCACACCTTACGTTCACATTGACTTTTTAGAGAGAGAAAGAGAGAGATTCTAGAGAGAGATTCTCTTCTCCCGTCTGCATCACAGCAAGTTCACGTTTCCGAGTGCGAGCAGTTCAACACCCGGTTTATCGGCTGTAGCGGTTTTCAGATTTTTCAGAGTAAAAGCGAGGTAACCGCCTATACCATTTTAGCTTTTCTCCCTTTCAATTTGTATACCTTTTTTCCTCCGCCTGTATACCTAGCTTTTTTAGAGAATATAAATGAGTTCCCAATCCACTCACTCGGCACTGCCTAGGACACTCAACCGATCCCCCGGAATGGCTGAGTCTAGAACAGGGGGTGCCTCTTCTGGACTGTCGGAACCAATATGCTCATCTCCGAATTCCTCCCTCTCACCATATGTATTCGATGCCCCCTTATCCATATCTAGCTACTGACTATGGTAGCCAGACGGTCTAAGAGCCGACGCACTATGAGAGTGCCAGCCGATGAGGTTTTCCCGGAAGGGGAACAGAGGGATTGGGAGGAGAGCGGATCTGACGAAGAGGCTCCCTCTACCTCCGCGAGCTCTGGGGTACGAGAGGTAGACGGCGAGGGAGCCGCCTCCTCTAATGAAGCCGGCGATGCTGAGGCCGGCCAAGGATCAAGAGCCGAATCTTCCGGCTCTGACCAGGACAATTTTGCGGTTGACTATCAGTAGCCGCCCAAGGTCGCTGACAACCCCAACTCCAAAAGGACCCGGATGCTGCCGGGTAACATCGCCCTCCTAAATAGCGAATTCAGGGCCTTCAAGGAAACGCACCCCTTTGGAAGGGATTGGGAGATTATCGTCCCTCCGGCTGACGCTGTAATTGCATGGGGTGATGATATTGAGCACGCAGATGATTACTTTATCTGCTATGAGGCGGTTATCGAAGCCGGCCTCCGGTTCCCCCTCCACCGCGGGATTAGGAAAATCCTTAAGGGGTACACTCTAGGGGTTTGGCAGCTCACCCCCAATTCGTGGGTGAATATCCTAAGTTACATCGCCGCCTGCGAGTTTCAAAACTTGAACCCTAGCTTCTCCGCCTTCGCTCATATGCACTATTTGAGCAAGGCTCCAGGCGGCCATGGGGCATGGTATACTCTGACTACCTTGCCCCAATACTTGATGACTCTAGACTAAGTGTCCAAATGGTCCGGGTGGAAGGACAAGTTTTATTTGGTTTTCTCCCCCACCCTTAGACACAACCGGACACTGCGCCGGTACAATACTGAGCCGGCTCTTCTTGGACGCAAATGCCCTCTCCCGACACTATCTACTAAGGTCCGGGAGCAAATAATGGAGTCGGGATACTTTGAAACAACAACTGAGCCCATGGGGGATGGGACTCACATTATTGTACCCAAAAATTGGATTCCCCATCCGGACTTCTTCAAGGACGAGTGCTTCTTGTCCGCCTGCGGGCTAAGTACCATGTTTCCCAGGGGTAGAATACTTCTCATCCGGAATGATTGTTATTTTACTTTAATTGCAAACTTGCCATAATTTTCTCTAACTATAAATTCTTGTTCTTGCAGACGAGGCCTTGAGGATGGTTGATCAGGCAAAGACTCCGGCTAAGTCTGCGGCGCTGTTGTGCAAAAAGGCTGCGTTGGCCAAGAAAGCAGCCGTCGAGGCTAAGGATTCCAAAAAAGGCGGGGTAAGACTGCCTGACTTGATGTGTTTGCATTTTTTTTTAAACCGTTTGGGTATACTTACCCTTTGTTTATTTCTCAGGAGTCCGTCAAGAAGATCCCACGATCTTTCTCCAAGCTGCTCAAAAGGCAAGAAGACGATCTAGAAAAGACTCCGGTTGCTAAAGTCGCCAGGAAAGGCCCTCCTCCTCCCCAGACACAATCATCTTCCCAATCCGATCGTCCTACGACCGGGGACAAATCCCCTGCTGTGCTGAAAAAATTGAGCGAAAGCTCAGAACGCTCGCAGTAGAAAGCGCCGGATGTCTCTACGACATCGAAGGGTGGCGAGCCACCTAATGTTGCAGGCGGTGCGGCAACGCCTAGGGAGGAGCAGAATCTGGAGAACCATCAGGAAGCCCAAGGTAAGGGACGGATTGAAATACCTTGGCCACTTGATTTTATGAGAGTCAAGACCAAGGTTGATCCTTCTAAAGGGTTGGTCTGCAGCCGGCAACGGATTAATGCCGACTACGTTGCCTCTAACTCACAGAGTATTACTTTTGATGCAGATCTGACTTCTGACCAGCCGGATCTTGCGGGTTTTGCAAAACGGATGGTGAGGACCATCACCCGGTCTGAGAAGAACTCCATACCTGATCTGCAGGTCGTGGACTTTGACCGGATAATGGGCCAACTGGCTGAGGTAGTGAATCCCACAACCTTGACATCTTTTATCTTTAATTTTGCTAAGTAACTCATAAGCCGGCTGTTCTTGTCACAGAAAATGCTTAGAGTGGACAGCCTCAGGGGCCCCTTCAGGCGGAAACAGGAAGAGGTAAATGACGCCAAACGGAGGGCCCTTGAAAACCTCAACTCTTCTGAATATTCTGATTATATGTGTAATTTAAAGATTAAAGTAGTAGAGTTGAAACAGGAGGAGCTGATCCGGAGTTTGACGTCTGCAAACGACGAAGCTAACAGCCGGGCTGATGACCTTGATAAGCAGCTGAAAGATGCCAAATCAGATCTCAAGGCATTAGAAGATCCTGACAAGGAGAATGCCCAACTCCGAATAGACGTAAACCGCCTGAGGGTTGAGCTTATCAATCTGCGCAACAAGCAGTCGGACGAGCTGGCCCAAGAGCAGAAACGACTGACAGAGGAGAATGAGCGGGATAACTTGGCCCGGCTAAAGATCACCTGGAGCCTCCTTTACCCAGAAATAGACTTTAAGATCTATAAGCTGAGGTATGATTACGCCACTGAGGTGTTGATGCCCAGCTACTGGGTGATGCTCCTCCGCCTCGCTTCAAGGATTGGGCTGCTAAGCAAGGATATGATGTCTCTGATACTGAGGAGCCGGCGGATGAGCATAATGAGGGTCAAACCAGCCAAACTCAGCCGGGACATTATCAGCCACCTCAGCCTTAGGCGGGCATCCCTACTTTCTGTGGCAGTATGCCATTGTTGTTTCTCTACCGGCTTGTATGCTGTGTGTTGTTGTATTTTTACCAACCATGGGGTTGGATTAAAAATTTATTTTTTGTTTCCTCACCGGATGTAACTCCAGTTAACACAACTTCTAGCCTTTGAGCCATATTAATGAAGTATTCCGACTCAGTCGGTTCTTTTATACCTGTTTGTGTTTGAGTTTTTCAATTTGAATTTTGCGTTATGTTTGCAATTCATTAATATTTTGCCTAACTTAAAAAAGCATGCGGCAGTTTGTAATCCGGGTGCTCTTGCCCCTGGACGGCTGTGTAGTTGGTTTTATTTCAAATTGATTGATTGGCTTGAAAACACTTGATACTAAGAGAAGTATGGGGTGTTTTTAGGCCAATCAATCACAATGGTGATTGCCCCAAACCAAGTGCACAGCCGGCCATTAAAGCGGGTGCTTTGAGCTTCTTACCCAGGCGGTTATATTCCGTAT